GGGAAGGATGTCTTAGATCAGGGCTTGTGGGAGCAAACTGTGCACTGGGTGGCACTGGCCGGGCAGCCTTCAGGTTCTGTAGCCCTCAGTGGCTCAGCAGAGGCCTGTCCATTCCATCGTAAGTTTCAGCAGCTGCAGGACCTAGGGACCTGTCCCCTGTCTCCAGTGTTTGCAGAGAGATGCCTCCAGTCCCCTGGTCTGTTCTAGTTCTAGTCTTTTTTTTTTTTTTGAGGCAGAGTCTCACTCTGTCACTCAGGCCGGAGTGGAGCGCAATGATGTGATTGCGGCTCACTGTAACTTCTGCCTCCCAGGTTCAAGTAATTCTCCTGCCTCAGTCTTCCAAGCAGCCAGAATTACAGGCGTGTGCCAGCATACCCAGATAATTTTCTTTTTGTATTTTTAGTAGAGACCGGGTTTCACCATCACCAGTCCAGGTTGGTCTCGATCTCCTGACTTCAAATAATCCACCTGCCTCGGCCTCCCAAAGTGCTGGGATTACAGGCGAGAGCCACCGTGCCCGACCACTTGTTCTAGTGTTATTGTGAGCTGCCAGGCTTTCGCACCAGCTGTCCAGCACAAGTGACCCATCAGACATTTCAGAATATTTTGTTAAGACTCAGTCACACACTGCCCTTCAGATGTCATCCATGTGCTCATATTCAGACTGCTGCATTATAATCAAAGCACGTTGGCCGACTTTATATTGAAAGACCTTCTTTAGCCTTCAACTGATCCAAAGATGATTTGGTGACCAAAGAAGTCTCCATGCTATGTCGCATTTGCTTGGGGATCCCAAACCACCAGTGTGAATTGTCATGGAGACCCCTACCAATGCCTGCTGTGCTTCATGGAACGAACAGCATTCAAGATTCCTAGAGTAAGGACAGCAGGTGGAGAGCGGTGTTCTGGGCTTTCTCATGAGTCCCCTCCAGTAACCAGTGACAGCTAGCCTCTGTGGGGCGCTGCTCAGGCTTGCAGATTTCTGAGACTCTGGCTTAATGCAGCAGAGACTTTAGAGCTGTGTTGTGCAATACAGTAGCCACTAGTCAGGTGGGCAAATACAATCAGGAACTGAATTTTAAGCTGTATTTATTTAATTAATTCAAATAGTCATGTATAGTTAGGGGCTACCCTACTGGACAGTGACTGGCAGCCTTGGGGTGAGCTGGTGCTCCCAGGGTTCTTTGGGTGGGGGGATCCTTGGACAGGGAAAACACCCTTCCCACAATCTTTAGGGATGGAGCTTCAAGTCAGTTTGGTCATTAAAAGGAAATTGGGGCCGACCACAGTGGCTCACACCTGTAATCCCAGCACTTTGGGAGGCTGAGGCAGATGGATCACCTGAGGTCAAGGGTTTGAGACCAGCCTGGCCAACATGGTGAAACCCCATCTCTACTAAAAATGCAAAAATGAGCTGTGCATGGGGATGATCCCAGCTCCTCAGGAGGCTGAGGCAGGAGAATTGCTTGAACCCGGGAGGTGGATATTGTAGTGAGCGGCTGTACTCTAGCCTGGGCGACAGAGTGAGACTCTGTCTCAAAGAAATTTAAAAAATAGCTGGGCACGTTGGCTTAGGCCTGTAATCCCAGCACTTTGGGAGGCTAAGGTGGGTGGATCACATGGGGTCAGAAGTTCGAGACCAGACTGGCCAACATGATGATCCCTGGAGGCAG